TTTTTTCTTACGAAATATCTACAATCATTACTCTCTTAATTTTTAAAATATTTGCAAAAAAAGTTTGTTAATATCACTATATTAAATTTAACTTATAAATATATGTGTTTTTAATATCGTATACATTGATATTGATTGCTAATTATTAAAAAAAACGATCAAGAACAGAAGAAAATAATAATAGTAGAGGAACTTAGAAATTAAAAATAAAGATAAAAGAAATAATGAATGTTTTATTTTCATCATATTATCATATCATAAAACAAAAAACTTGTCCAAACAATATAATACAATAAAATATATGCAAATTTTCAATAAACATAATAATTAGTATTAAAATAATATGATTAAAATATGGATATTGAATTTTAACTATTATTTCTTTTGATTCAATAATCTTATATCAGAATAAAAAACATTATTAAATCATATATATCCTAATCATCGACAATATCGCTATTTTTGCAAAAATTATTTTTTTACCTATCAAAAGTCTGTATGGATAATTAAATCTATTAAACATGTAATTTTTAATCAGGACTCAATAGTGAAAATATATACTCTAATCATGTTATAAATCTTAAATTTGGTATCTTGTTCATAATTTATTAAACTAATCTTGACAGTATATTTATTAAAATTTTCATTCTCAAGTTCAACATTATACACACATATAAATATATATTATAAATCTCTGTTTTTTTTAAAGAAACGTATAAAAAAAATAAAACGAATAGAAGATTTTAAAAATACTAACATTTCTCTTTTTAGGTAGATAATATCAGATTCATAGTCTTTGATGTTGTTCACAATCATTCTTTTGATCGTAAAACACAACAAAGCAAAACAATAACTTAGAGATTCGCATTCATTTATTTAATAATAATTCATATCATATTAGCTCCTTAAGAAGAAATAAAAACCAGGAGGCATAAGAAAATACAGTATAGTTATATTACATAATCTCAAATATACACACATATATACATATAAGGATGCTAATAAACATCATAATCTAAACGATCAATTTGCAGTAGTAACAAATATCGAGTGCAAGTGATTGAGATAAAGTCAGTTTATCAAGTGATTCATTGAGCTATGTACGATATTTTTATACACATAAAGATAATTAAAAGAAGCAAGTTTCTGTGTAAAAAAACATATTCGATCTCTTTAATCTGAAATCTTATGAGTGTGCTTTGATTTGTTTTTATAGATTTTGTTAGATTGAATATCATACAATGATTCACTATGAATTTAAATAAAATATACAACGATTCATTTATAGATTTAAATAAAATATTATATAATGTCGAATATTTTGGAACTTGTTCTAAGTAAAATTCTTTTTGTTAAATAAATAAATCGTATAGTATATTATATATTATGTGCTAAAATTCGGAAATAATTAATTGTTTATTTGAAAGGATATAAATTCATCATCTTTTCATTAAAGTGATATAATACTGCCATGTATCCAGTTGATCATTTTCATTTTACTATTTTATCATCTCTTAAACTTAAAATACTTATATTCATTAGCTATATTGCCATATATATATAAATATCCTATATAGATATATTCATTTCAAAATTTCAAAATTTCAAAAATATTATTAAGAAATATATTATTATTATAATATAATATATAATATATTAATAATATATAAATATAATTATATTTATATTTTATTAATAAAAGATTATTATCGATATTAATCATATATTTTTTATTTTTTTATTGAAATGTTTATATACTATCAATAAAATCTATTTATTTATTATTATCTATTGCTAAAGTATTGTTATTATTATTTGGCTGTATTGCAATTGTTTTGGTTTATATCATATTCATTTATTATATTATTTTTTTTTTTGCATTGCATAAAATTGCATAAAATGTGCTTCAATATCTTTAAAATAATGTATTTCATTTGATAGATTTGTATATTTGTTAATTGCATATAATTGGACATTATTTATTATTACATATATATATCTAATATATCTAATCTATCTAATATAATCTAATCCAATATATATCTAATATATATGTAATATATATGTAGTAATATATTACATATATATTTTTATGATTTTTTCTAGTATATTGAATATAAATAATAACGAATAATAATAATAAAAATATTTGATATCGTTACATAATTCTAATTATTCTAAAATAAAATTCTAAAATATATATTTTTGAATTTCGCATAAATTATAGTAGCGTATCTAATAGGAAAATAAAAAATTAATAATGTGTTAGATTTTAAGATATTAATCATGAAAAAATGGGCAATAATTTAAAAAAAAAAAAAAAAA